CAATTTATAATAAAATTAGTTGATCTAAACCTCATTAAAAATACTTTCACTTGCATGTTAATAATGTGGAATAACTATTCCCTTGACCAACTTAGTGACTTGTTCATACAGTTGTCGAATTTTTACCGGCTAAGCTGGAAAGGCTTGGCATTTGATAATTTATGTTTGTTCAATACGATCAGCTTGTATTCCGAAAATAATTTTCCAAACAGACACATGCAGAATGTGACTGACACTTCTTTTGTGTGTTTGGAGCATTTTAAATCAGTTTAATGTCCGCCGCTTGACCCGACTCGCTGGCCCCCTTTCCCAACTAAGTTGAGCCACTTCATCAACTGTGTGTCCCCGCCACCTCTGATCCTCTGAACCCTCCTGGCATCTGTGTGGCGCCAGTTTCGGGCCATTATAACGTGGCGACCCGGGTAACTGTCGGTACAACACTTCAGGGACTCAATAAAATAAGGCTTCTTACGCAAACCACTGAAATATGCAAATACGACGACCCATGCGTAGTAAACTAGCTCCTGCATATTGTTTCGATTCGGTTCTATTAAATCACCAAATTTGGCATCTGTTTACACGTGAGCGTGCATGCAGAGATGGGCTGAAATTGCGTTGATACAAGTCACTGCAAATTCCAACCTACTAATAAATCAGAATGAGGACAGGTTATAAAAGCCTGGAAGACAATCTTGCGTGTTCCTGGCGAAACTGTTATTTTTGTGCTTCAAAGTAAATTCTCATGCTACTGAATTTTCTTCGAAACCAGGGGCTTTTGATTGGCGATGGATTATGTTAAGTAGAGGCGGTTTTGCCATGAGCAAGCAGGTACAAATATTTCTGATTTCCACACAAGTGCTCGACAGGTGCAACTGTTTTGATTTAGATCCATTGTTCATAAATTCTTACGTTGGAGTATTGAGCTAATTCATCCGATCTTCACACAGCCTAGAAGTTCCGAATCGCTGGGAGTCCTTTTTAACAGATCAAATCCTTACGATACTAAAATAAATCCAAGTGTTTTTAGGAGAGCTGAGTATCAGTACATGGGAGCAACTCCAGTGCTATTAAACACCAAAACAAAGTCCCTTCTTTGCAGAATATCTAGTAAATATTTTTACATCCTTAACAACTCAGACGAAGCATGGAGGAAACAGTATCTGAGTTTATACCCATATTAGCACAAGTTCGGGTTCTGTTATTATCAATATTTACTAGGTTTTCACGTAAGAATGGTGGTTGGACTAATTTAAGGCTTCATTCTCTTATTCGACGACTGTTATGTAGGAAACCCTGTCAATAATTAGATTTAAAATGCACGTAAAACCTTTCGTGCGTTTCGGTCCATGTTAGTTGACAAAAATTTACAAAGATCGCCGACGGTTTCAACGGAACGGCAAGTTAAGCACATCCAATCGCCTAATGTATCACGAAATGAAACATTACCGACGCGTGTGGACTGAGGTTTCCAAATCCTCATTGCAAAGCCTGCTTCGTGTTATCTTGTGATTAATCGGGTCATGAAACAAGAGTTATGGAAATCTAAGCGAAACACGCAGCAGTTGAGTGATGAGGAGGCTGTTGCAAAACCCGCTGTGATATCATTGGTATGCACTACTGAAATAAAACTATTGTGTTTTAAACAGAACTTCCTGAGAATTTGCTGCTTTTGTCGCGTTCTTGATGTTTCCAGCCGGAACCTAAAGGTAGTCAATCACGTTCTCCAGGTCCTTTCCTTTTTTTAAAATATTTTAATGTTAAAAACACCGTTTAGAAAAACAACATCATAACCACTAACAACTCGTTACTCCAATGAACCAATTGAAATTAGCACTTAAACTTGGTAAATATGCAGTTCCTGCTTTCTAAATCAGACCCTCTTTGAAGCCATAAGGTGCTTTCCTTTGATTTATGAATAATTCTGAAATTAGGATAAAAAATAAAAAAAAAATAAAAAACAAACGGATTCACGCTCTGCTTCCAACCTGTTGGAGATCCTTCTCATCCCCGTGATAATTATTGCCAGTCTTGCATTTTGGCCGTGAAACTCCATCAAACAACCGCGGTAAGTGTGCTTTCATTGCCACGGATTTCACCAATTTGTTGAGTCTGTAGGTTTTCAATGTTTTAATGATCTCAACTGCGCACATTTCAAATGGATAAAGTATGGAGTATATGCTAACTGGCATGTAAGGCAGACTTCAAACTATCTTCTTAAACCATTCGCTGATGTTTAGAGAGGCGAATACCATTGTTCAAGAATAATAAAATTAATAAAAAAAACTAAAAAAGGTATTTTAACTTTAACTTTATTTTTGAATTTGACGCAATCTTGTCAAAAATTCACTGCTTATAAGCATAATGGCATCTGTATGGTACACCAAGATCTAGTTTTTGCAGAGTTACTTCGACTTCCGTTGTTAAATTTAGACTGATCGGAAAAAAACCGACATGTCGGTATGATGTAACTTGGCCTTGAAGTAAGTGACACAAGTAATAACGCAATACATGTCTATCTTGGAATTTGAGAAGTTTGTGGGAGACTAGCTACCAAACATGCATTACTACTAACTAGGTCGGTGAGTCCTCATGAGTGCACTAAATTAAATGCTGGATAAACAGTAACTATCACTTCATTAAATCCGATGCAGCTAGGACTAAACCACTTAAATTCCAAGCCGAATCCCAACAACGTATGACAGGAATCAAAGTACCACAGACGCAAATGCACAACTCGAGGGAAATCGAGCTAGCAACACACAAGGGGGATGTAGCATTGCTCGTCTTGAACACTTCATGTGCATTTAAATTCATTTGGTTGAAGTACGGGGTTAAGGTCATCAGCACCATATATATGTCAAAATCTCAAGAATTTAGTACTTCTCGTTGTTAATAAATGCTCATTTAACATCATTTATCTTCTTGATATTGACCGACAACGGGCTTTAAGTGAAACAGTTCTCGTACATCCTCTCACAGCGATCACTGCCAGTCTAGTTCTCATCAGTGTCACCTGGATCAACTTGCTTTACATCTCTATTTCACCGATTCAATACAACTGATATCAGACACTAAAATACAGGACGGGTCGCAACGTAGAATGTTGTTAATGTTCTAATTTCAACTCTTATGCAATTGCTGGTAGCTGCCAATTCAACGGTTAGATAACAGTCGCATATGGTTGCCCAGTTCTCCCCACATACTTTGTGTTATGTTAAAACACACACTATTACACCATCGTGTATAACGTGATACCTCATGGCAATCCAGTAAAACAAACCCTTCAGTTATGCGACCCGTTGTAATTGGTGGGATGTTAGCTTTTTGATACTCAGAGGAAACCTAACGCTCTTTGAAACCATCGGCTCAACGCCGAGCTCACCCATTTGACCGTCCCAACATGCTGTGTAAATAAAGGCTCATTTACTCGAATTAATCAACCTACTGGAATGCAAATTCTTCTGTGCAAAGAAAGGCTGTCGGATCCAGTCCACGAGGCTGCGCAACTCGTTGGTATGCTCCCCGTTTGTCCTAACCACAAACAACCAACGAACTGCATGATTTGATTCTAACTATGCCATGCCCAACTACTAGGTCTCATGTAGAGTGCATCATTGCCAGCATGGCTCCACATGGAATCAATTTGTGATCTTCTCTGCTGAAATCAGCGTAAGCTACGAATTACCGACTTGTGTCATCGGTACAGTTCGCAAGTCCACCGCAAATAATGTAATGTGTGTTCATTAAGCAAGACCACCACTCATGCAATGTTACTGTATAAGGGGTTTCGGGAATTGCTTTCGCAAGCCACTTCAGATACAACATCAACCTAAACAGTTTTCATATATATTTGTCTGCACAGATTTTGCAATTAAAACATGCGAGTACCCAGGATTTGCACATAAGCAGCCAGCAAACATTGCGAATAGCCCACCAAGTCAGGGCTCAAAACCAAGAAATTCTTTGATGCCTTAGCGACCCGCGATGATGTTCCGTATTGTGCTCTAAGATTAACCATGAACTGTCAACATCTCTGCTACTGCATTCCACTGTTACGGAACCTATTTTTTAACTTACGTTATCGGAGCCAAGTGCACCGGTTGTCAAATACTCATGGAAATCGCACAAATAACAAAAATTGGAAGGCCACGTAATGAACGAGACAGGCCTTACGTGTTCCCTACACAAGTGCCAGTATTTCTGGACACCGAAACACGCTAGATACATGAAGTTGTCTTGAACTCAGTGCGTGATAATGTATAACGCCTCACGACTTGCGCATCCAAATCTCGGCAACTGGTTCTTACAAAGGTGTGCATCAAAATGGATCCCTTCACCGCAATTATTTCGTCGAGGTAATATTGCCTTAACAAACCTATGCTGTAAGCCAATATGCAGGGAGAGAGTATTTAAGATTAACCATTATCAGTAAACAGGAGTTGGCAATAAGTGATTTGATATATGGGGAGTTAAGTATGAAACGGAATCTGGGTCTCCAGGAGCCTAATTAATCAGAATTTAGGACAAGTGGTCCTGTCAGTTTAAATCTATTTCTCAATCAGGTTTTATAGTCGTCTTCCAAATTTATCGCCCACTCAGAGATAACCAAGTAATCGTAGTGTTTGACAGTCCCGTGACACTGGCGACTTAACATCGCATGTCTGATTATCAGGAGCGTTTACTATTCCAAGTGCCCTTTGATAGGCTAGGCTGCAGTAAAACCCGTCTTGAGCTGAGCAAGCATAACCTGACTGGTCATTTGTCAATGCCTTGCAAGAGAAAAATATATACACCAGCACAACATGCTCTTCGCGTTAATTAACGTAGAGTGATTTGTGGCATTTTACCATGAATACACGGAACGCCATGTTGCTAATATTTTTCTTTTTAAAGAAAGAAACAAGGCAGCATGTAAATGCACGTGTCTGGCAACATCATATTTTGTTTATCTAATCATTACCTCAGTGAGCGCTCTACATATTCGTGTTTCAGTTTCGCCAATGCTGTCTGTCGTCTCTCGTTGTCGGCGTTTCGCGCCAATACTCAATTATGGATGTGTTCTATCAAAGCAGAAGCACACGATCCCAGACCTGCCTTATGATTTCGGTGCTCTCGAACCCGTAATTTCGGCCGAGATCATGCAAGTTCACTACCTGAAGCATCATGGCACCTACGTGAATAATCTGAACATAGCTGAAGAGCAGTTGGCTGAGGCAATTCACAAGAATGATGTCACGAAGATGATTTCGCTGCAGGTGGGAATTGCGTTGAGTTTTAGTGTTTGGGGGCAATTGCGGTTTCAAATCACGGTATGCCGTAGGCTTATAGGCCAGTCCTGAATGATTCAACGTGATGGCTAAAGGATTGTCTCTTATGCATGTCGCAGGACCACACTACCGTTTGTCGTTAAAGTGAGGTGGAAGTGGAGTGGCGTCATGTGTTGAGATGAGGTTATCACAATGTATTGGGAAGACGCAGTGTGAGAAAGTGTGAGGTTGAAAGCCTTGGTAATGTTGTGATTTTGCAAGGTGTGGTGGACGTGCTTATTGACGTGAAAAGCTATGGGGAATGGTATTGCTGCGGATATATAAGGCCATATGATTTGGCTGAGTTAAATGTTAATTTTATGGTGAGATGTAAATTTGCGTTGCCTTCGCACCTCTGGATTTTTTTGGCCTATATCTATTTTTTCTGTAATTATTATTGTGATCTGTTTGTTAATTCATGGAAAATCATCGTTTCATTTAGCCTGCCTTAAGGTTCAATGGTGGAGGCCATATCAACCACAGCATTTTTTGGTGCAATCTCTGCCCTAATGGAGGTGGTGAGCCAAGCGGTGCCCTAGCTGATGCAATTAACCGCGACTTTGGTTCATTTGATGCTTTCAAGGAAAGGATGACTGCCACCACTATCGCGATTCAAGGCTCCGGATGGGGATGGTTGGGCCTTGAACCGGCCTCCGGAAAATTGCGTATTGCTACGTGTGCAAACCAGGACCCGCTTGAAGGGACCACTGGTGAGCCCACCAATTGATCGAAATTTACTGGGAGGTGGTTTGTATCTTTTTGGCACCGTTTATTCAAATAAATGGCTGGTAAGTAAAGCAATTCCGGTGTAGCAATAGTACTTTTGGGGCTAAACTTCATAATTCAAGCCTGTAACCTCAGCTCTTGTGGTCTTAGATTACTGTTAATGTCGGTTATTTCCACAGAGGGTCTTCCCTTATTTTGAAATTGCTCGGAATCACGTTTGTCACATGTGTATCATCTGTTTTCGCCCAGTAAAAGAAACAGAAGATGTCTATGCGCCGTTCAAAAGCTGTGTTAAGTCTAACCACTTTTCTGTTGATTTTTTACATACTTTATACTACAAATATTATTCATCTGACTTTCAGGTCTCAAGCCTTTGTTGGGCATTGACGTTTGGGAACACGCCTATTATCTTCAGTACAAGAACGTGCGTCCTGATTACGTCAAGGCCATTTGGAAAATCATCAATTGGAAGGACGTCGCGGATCGCTTTGCTAAAGCTCAGTAAAGAAGTTTTAATCAGTATTTCCAAGAATCGTAGTGTTATAATTTATCAAATTTTCATTTTCTGTCTGGGGTCAGGGGTCAACTCCTGCTTATAATTTCTATTATTGGATAGACTTTTATGCCTTAGAACCCTCATGGTGCATCCCTATGAAGTACGCATTTCTCTGCCCATATGAGTCCGCGTTACTCATTCAACAACTCGTGAGGTACACAAATAACATCCCTTGGCCATAAGAAGGTCCTATGTAGTGTTTAGTATTGTGCTTTCTTCTCATGCCCTCTGTGGTTCCAAATTTCGTCTCCCTACAAGAGTCTAGCTCTATAAGATGGTTGTAGACGGCCTCACCGAGCTCATATGCAGCCATAGTAGTGTCTAGGCCCAGACATCAAGGATAAATTCCGAAATCCCCTCAGAGTCATGTTGGGCTACCTAAACCCGGTCCGATTTACGAAGGCAGGGAGAATGCAAGGGCATAAACCGTGGGCAAGATCAGTTTAGAGTTTTTTGCATCCAGACTGGTAACTGCTTAACAGCCCCCTCGTTTTTCAAACTGCTCCTGCAGCACTGTAATGTGGTTTTACATCTGCGTTTCCGCTTTCGGTAATTGATATGAAATCCAACTTCAATGAAATTATTTATAGTGAATCCCTCAAGTCGCTGGTCGCTTCATTGTCAGTTGGCCAAATTTTTTTAATTTTCTAAAAGAATGCTATCCCTCACCGGTTTTGAAAATTTTTCTGATTTGGCTTGTTAATTGTACCTGAGTTAATTACGCGGGCTTTGCACTGTGTTCTACCTTGGGTATTTTCTGGCGGACCGTCAACTAGGGGTATGCCTGCTTTAGGTACTTCTCTCAAGTGTCCTTTCCAGGTGCGTGGACCTTTATCCCGTCTAGAAGCATTATTAGTGCATGGCAGGGTTATAAGTTCGGGTTGATGTTCTTACCTACACTTTGGTTTCTACTCCACGCTGTGTGCTTCTGACCCAGACTCCTGCTGATTATTTTTTAGACCGCTGATTTGTGAAACTAACTTATTGGGGAAGATTGACTTCTAGTGTATTGCAGTATAGGCAACTCGAAGCCGTCATTACCACTCTTTTTAGCTTCCTTTCACATTCGTCACCCGAACTGAGAGCTCTGTGATGAAGGCACTGAGCTCGCAATGGCACTAGACATCCCGTATGGTATTTTTTGAATAAAAATAATAGTGGCAAGCATGTTATTATTGAATTAAAATCTTTCGTGCCCATACTTGATTGACGACAATTGGGCGTTGCGAACGTCGGGACTTGAATTGTATAATTTCTGTAGACATTTTTTTCTCTTTTCAGTGTTTGCAGGTTTCAAATCAACATCACTATTTCAACATTGTAAAATAAGCACAGAGCTGCAAGGCTATTCTCGCATCCTAGTTCACAAGTCCCGGTCGTGGTTGTGGTGAACTGGGAGAGTTGGTTGACGTGGCAGCCTCGTAGTAAGCATACGCGACCATTTTGAGCGTGTGAGGCCCCAGCACGATGCCCTAGCAGATGCTCGGAGTGGTGAAGCTGGGTGTCTTGTGCTCCCTTCGTCTAGTACTTGCAATTTTCGTCCACTGGTGGGCACGTGCCCTCGAAAAGTACGTGCAGGCTACGTGCCTCAAATGACCGAGACCTCATAAGGTCAGACATGGACTTTTATCATGTGTTTGTTCATGCGTGTTTTTACGTGACACAGTGTTCAGGATGTGCGCCAAAATTGAAGAACATGGACTTTGATTGTCTGTATAGGAAGATGTTAGAGAAGCGGGTGTCACCTCAGTTCCGCAGCATGTTGCCAAGTCCAGTCATCGTATTTGGAGTTGTTGGTATTTGCACTCACGGCTACACTCTGGATCATGCCCCTAAGGGTAGTTGGGCAAGAAGAATATGCGCTCGCTTGGGGGTTGTAGTGCGTGCGAAAGTAACATGAGTATAATGATGTCAATGCTTGTAAGTCGCTACACAATTCGTATTTGTTGTTCATTAAGACAGATCACGTCGAAGTCATTTAGGTTCAAAGACTCGGAAAAGTCTCACTGCAGGTGATGGTTAAGAGCCAACTTCGCATAAGGCCGGCCTGATTTTCAACAAGGACCACATAATGCCAGCATACGTGGTAGTGGGACTTTGACTGAGTCAGTTAGGGGGCCCTACACGAAGCGGAGTTGCAGCGTCCAAGAAACTCCCACGAATATCCGGTGTTGGGGGTTTCATCTAAATGCAGCAGTTGTAGTGTCACCTAGTCTGGGTTGTGTCCTCGTTTCGCAAAATCATGTCATTAGTTAACCTCTAGAGGACACGGCATGGTCCGAACTTCAAAGATATAGGTAATTGCTTCTTTACACTATGCGAAAGAGGCAGCAATCGGATTAGTTAATTGAATTTGTGGTGGGTCATGAGTGGGGCTCTGTTGTTTGTGTGGACTGATTTTATTCACCAGTGGAAAAATGTTGGCAGTGAACATCCATTCACTGTGTTCGGACAATTGACATTTTGTGGGTGTCTTGAGTCATGTTCATGCAGATTATCCCAAATGACTCCAATCTAAATGTAAGCTACAACGAGCGCAGAATCTAAAACAATATCATCTTTAATTAAGACCATGTGGCGAATAGCAGACGAGCCCAGTTGGCAGTCGTGAGCGAAAACGATGCAATCGATTTTCGTAAATGCCCATCACGCAATTCCGTTTGTTCAGAGATCGATGATTAACAGAGCTATATAAACGCACCTGCTACCCTGCACACACACCCGCTGCTGCTTTAATACATAAATTGAGCTACGCGTTATCTGCATTTCCTAATTCCTTCTTTCGGTCGGGCCAAGTCTAAGTAGACTGTCGGCCCTTGTGTGGTTTCAAAACCGCACTGGGGACCGCTAAAACCACTGACTTTCTCTTGAAGAGGATATGAAATACGTTTATTACGCCACTGCTTGGCAAGGTTAGCTGCCACATGCCTACTGAAAGTCAGACAACCAACACACATCACACTCTGCAGAACGGTCAATGAGGTGGGTTATTAGGATTAAGCATTGACCAATGCCAAGAACACGCTCTCACTACCTGTCTGGATCATACTCATAATGAGTCCTAGAAGACCGCTAAGATAAATTTGTGAAGTTCCACCTATGTACACCACTTACTAAGTCCAGTGTTCCAACGCCTTCTTTGCATTGGTTTAAACAAATTTACGGCAGTCTTCCGGTGACTTCCTAAACTAGTGTGTTTGCATCCGCAGCTTCCGAATTGCGAGACAAAACCATGGATCCCGCTTCTTGTTTGAAATACCTGAAGAATTTGACGTCTCGGATCTCTTGCCAAAACCTACTTTGTGGTCAGCTCAAATAGTCCTTTGGTAAGACGTCTTCATGCCCTAAGAGCACAGATACAAAACAGCATAAAGTACTGAATTAGGTTTTTGGCAATTTGTGGTATGCGTAGGCAGAAACCTTTAAATTACGGTCGAATCCTTGGAGAGCATGAGGTGTGAGGGGAAGGCGAATGCCAGATAATTACGGGTCTACAGTGCTGCATCCCACCCAAATCGCCCGATTCCACCATGGCGTCAGATGGTCGTTCATGGAATTTCAGCAAGCTGTCATCCCTTAGACCAAGGTTCTGGTTGCAGAACAACTTACACCGGGAAGGAATAATCGTTGCTGAACCCTCGTTTGGATTCCGCATTCAGTGGATGAGTTTGGCTAATACAAACGGTTTAATCAATCCTATGGAGCAAGGAAATGAAAAAAAAAATCATTCCCGAATGTCGCCTTTTGAACGATAATGACTTCCATGTTTCCTCTTAGATTGTTGTCGTTTTAGTAGAAAAAGTATTATTCATGACCCTAGCCGACACTTTATTTAACACATACCTCTATCAATCGATTTTGCTGGAATTCGCGTTAAATATCGTGACTGAGGAGGCACTTCTGTTCCTCCTTCAAATGAAAAGAAATGGTCGTTTATACTTCGTTGAATTAAGGACGAGATTCTCATGGAAACAGTGGATGATCTCGTTTTACGAAAATAAAGCGATGACACAACCGTTTTATTAATTCATTGTATACTTCAACTCCCGGCTTGAATAAGTCCTGTGAACAACATATTCCAATTTACAAATTTCTTAATAACACTGTAGTTTGCATGAGTGACTCATTCCGGTGTAGAATATTTCCCAAAATTAAACAGAAGAGTTGCAAAACAGGAAAGACAAGCACCCGAAGCTGCCTTCCTTGGTACCCAGTTCGCGCCTCGAATCCTCCACTCGTCCTGTAGGAGACTGCGGTAAAAAACGTAGTGATGTAGTTGAATTTCGCAGAACCTGAAAAAACCGAGAAGAATATTCAATTGTTGAATAATTTGGACAAAATTCGCCAGTTTTGTGTCAAGGTCTTCTCTACTAACCGTTTGCAAGTAATGCGAGTTTTAGAACGCGTTTAAGCAGGCTCAGATTTAAAAAGAGGCGAAAAATATTAGGCGAGTGGCATATGATTTGAAACCGCAATTGTACCCAAACACTGAAACTCAACACAGTTCCCACCTGCAGAGAAATCATCTTCGTGACATCATTCTTGTGAATTACCCCAGCCAACTGCTCCTCAGCTATGTTCAGATTATTCACGTAGGTGCCACGATGCTTCAGGTAGTGAAATTGCATGAACAGTTGTCGTAGTGTGTCTCCGAGGTACGCCAAGATTGTCTTGGACACTAGTATGTAATTCGTTTGTCAGTCCAGGTCCCGTTAGAGAAATGGTGATCTGCCATATCCAGTAACAACGAGTGGTATTGTGATCGAACATCTAGCTATACGAGAGACCTAAATGCAGTGTACATCTGCCAATTGATATTGAGGCTTTAGTTGGCTGCGTGTCAATCACTCGTGTAGAACTCCAGTGGACCTTCTGCGTGTGCCAACTTTTAAGCACTCGAAGTTGGAACTGCTCGGGAATTTGCGTTTAGCTTGTTTGCTATGGCAGCCATAAGATGAATATTTGCCTACCCGACTGATCTCACATGGTGTCGCGTCCAACGCCAGCAGGCATGTGACGCTGATAGGTGTTGTAATCGCAAATGATTGTTTTTGAATCTCTACGCATTTCCTTGTTATAAACTTGTTGCCTATTTCGGCATTGGAAGGTCTGAAGTGAACTGTCAGCAATCGTGTGTGAGCGAAGCTTGCTTACAAAATTATTGATGAAATTATTCACCTCTAGCGCATTAATTAATTTTATAAGTTGTCTGTTACGCACGCTCACTTATCAGCACACAAAGGCACTTAGCTGTCGTGACGCTAATAAACGGTTAGTTCCATTTTCGTCTCTCTTTCCTGGGTTATCGGGTTGTTTTGGGCTGTTAGTTAAGTAGTAGGGCTGGGAGTTATTGTGAGCAAGCCACTACGGGCTATCTAATCGGAAAACGAAGATGTAGTGAATCGTGATATCTCACACCCATCACCTCTGTTGACGCACATACAGACGCTTCGGTAGTTCACGCCTCACGACAATCCGCGAGTTCCATCAGCCCTCCTCCAATCTGTCTAGCCGTCCCCACTACCCACACGGACCTGGCTGTGCATGCTGCCTTCCATACACACACTCCCCTTTGTCCGTCTGTGACTCCTACGAAAACATAAACCCGCGTGCACGCGCAAACACACCTCAACGACACAAGTGAGTTGATCCATCTGATAAACGGTTGCGTATTCTGACCTCTCCGCAAATGAGTTTACAGAATGCGGTGGTTCTGGCGTGGCTTCAAGATGCATAAGGGGATTTCAGCACTGCAAAACAATCCAGATGTAGCCGCTTGACATAACCCTGTGACACAGCAAGGCTGATTATTATTGTATTCCATGAAAGTCTGTTACTTCAGAGTTAAGTGTGAGTGTTGTACGAACCCGCACTTCGTTTTTCAGGGTGCAAGATTCAAACCCCAATTTTAATGCACGTTACTTGACCGAAGCTTAGGCAAGTAAACCCGGAAAAATTTCAATAAATTCCTGTGTCCGCGTACAAACTGCTTGTCCGTGTGTTTGACACGTCCACAGAGGCCCACATTTCCAAAATACAAGGCCCGGCTTTGCGAGAAATCTTACCCAATGAAGCATTGTGTCCGAGGAACGCACAGTTAACAGTAACACACGACATCATTGGGTGCCATCTGAGAGGCGAGAAGAGGCTGTGGACGGCTAAACTGAACACAGATTCCTGTGACGTTCTCGTGCGTGACGTCAGCAAGTGAGGTTGCGTGTGTAATCATTGGCGTTGGCGGTGTACATGGGCACACAAATTGAGCAATGCATAATAGTTTATTAGAAAATACAAAAATATTGCCAAGTAAAAAATGAAAGCAAATTGTTTCAATCGAAAGAATGGAAATGTACTAGATGAGTATTGACTAAAGTAGATAGTTGTTAACGCCATTGGTTCAAGGCCTCCTGCACGACGTCCAGGTAAAATTTCAAATCTTTCTTCATCTTCCTAGAAGAACAGAAACTCGGCTGATTACGACGCGGAGGTCTATATCGCATTTTTGAATCTGTCACTGGAGTTAGACAGACCCTACAGCATCTACCTGCAAATGCCTAACTACACGTCCAATGTTTTTCAAATGGACAAATCAAAAGTTATCACGATATCAACCAATCATATTTCAGTGTTAGCTTCTGTGCTGTCAGCCCTAAATCAACCTTGATAGCCCTGCCCGCGAGACTGATGATGCCATCGTCGGAAGAGCGGGGAAAGGTGCTTAAAGTTTACAAACCGGTTTCTTCACCAACTATCGAAAAACAATGCAATGTCAAGTCAATTCCATATAACTGCTGATTGGCGACAGGACGTGCTTTGTAGGTGGCATCATAAAGGAAAACTACGTCAAATTTTTGGTCATTTGCACACACAGACCATGAATGAGTTGCCTGATAGCAATGTTTGAGCCTTTCGAAGCCATCACAGACTTTAAAATGACCTAGTTTGTCCACTTTTGTACCGACTATCAATGGGTATGAGTTTTTTTACTTTGCATAATCTGAGGGCTTTTAAAACCCTAATCATCAAATTATGTTTGCATTTGTTGATACCCGTCTGTGTGCGAATAGCCATGAATCGATGTTATGGTGACAACACTTTACTCCGACATTTAAAGAACCCGTGTGCTTCGGCTTTTGAAGGTCGTGGGATAATTCAGTCACCATGAGAGCTAAATTTTGTCACTGGACTTTGACGCTGGTGGGCATCGTGGTGGCCGATGACACATTTCCGTCATTTAATCATCCTTCCTATTAAATCAAATGCGCTTCTTTGAGAAACATTTTTGACGTATAAGTAGTTCGAGTAATTTGTTGCTGTAGGGATTATATCTATCACTTGCTAATGCTTAATTTGCATAATATTGAAAAAAACATCAAATATAGGGTTTTTTACGCATTGTTTTTACAACCAACCAGACAAGTGGCCGACAAAGTAACCCTAGTGGCTCCATCAGAATGTTTGCTTTTCTTGTAAATTCAGGTCCATGTAGCATGTTTTGTAGGACATTGTTACACCTAAAAGCCTAACTCTACTTTTACCAATTGGGTGGATGACACCGTGTTTATGTACCAAATACGTGCATTAAAAGTAAAAAAAGACGTAAATATGCACGTCGGGTTCAATCCTGGTGTGTATAAACCAGACGCGGCGGGACTAATCAATATTTATCGTATGGAGACTGTCGTTGCCGAGGCACTTAACGGACATCCTAAGCAATCGAGCACCCCAACTTGGGGCTGTTTTACTTGCACGTTCAGAGGTCCTCGTAGACTTAAGTCACGCGGTGTTTCTGCGTGCATTCAAGGCTAGGGCGCGAGCATGCAACGACCAACACCATCTACCAAGTTGGATCATCATCTACACAAAATAGTAACTTGAATATGGTGGCACTGCGAGGGTCTCAGCCCCTTCGACCAAGAAATTGGTGGAACTGCGCAAAGTCGCGCACAACGACGGAGCAAACACGCTCAATTCATGTGCCCTTATTAATGGTGAATTTGTGTTTTTCGTGGGTACTGAAATAGGCGAACAGAATGATCTCTGGATAGTTGAAAGGGGTCGAACAGACGTCTGTTTAGGACACAAGACTTGGTCCAAAATCCACAACTAAAGTCAAACACTCCATGACCACAGAAATGCGTCTCTCCTGTCCTCAATCACGCATTCATGTCACTTTTTTAACTATATCGCGCTTCGGTGCATTTAATTTGGCATGAAGAGCAAATTCTGCTTAGATTATGGTACCTTGTATAAGTGTGGCATTATCCTAGTAGAATACAAATGAAGTCCATTTTAGAGAATTTGTCCATCAAGCATTCTGGCAGCAAAAAAATTAAATTTTTTCGATCTCCATGCTTGAGAGGGTGCTTATTTTCAATCGTCACTTTCCGAAAATGTTCTATTCCTTAAGCTAGTCAAACCGACTGAATGCTTACTGGAGGTCGCGTAAGATGTCGTCGACTTGGTTCACCAATGCAGGATCGGTTATCCAATTCACTATAAGTTCGCCGATATCTTTCAAAACCAGCACACAACCAAGTGGCCCCACGCTTTGCCGGACGGTGATTTGACCGAACTTAGCGACAACTCCAACTAACGCTGCGCCAGCGGCCATGCCCTCACCATACATTTTAACATGTTCGAAAAAACTCCGGACTTGCTCAATATCTCTCTTTTCGAGGGCATTTATGTACCACCTTTCCGGTAGGTCCACATTTGTTCCTCGTCTGTTACATTCGTTAACAAGGTCGTGAGCCTGTTTTATAACTTCCTCCCTGCCTCCATTGATGTGGTTGACGGAGTCTAGGACTTTCTTGCCATATTTGCTAAAATTAAAATCAATTAGCCAATGAACAGCACCAATTTCCTATTCTGAAGACATTAGGCAATGTCTGGTGATTGGTGTAAGTCTGTTACGTCAATCTTCTCCAAGTCCGATAGGGCCCATTTCGTCTGGTTCACAAATGCACATGTAAATTCACACGTATGTTCACTGAGAGATCCGACACTCATAATCACTAACTTATCTGACTTTGCGGCCTCATTGATGGCCTTCGATTGTGTACCTCACTTCGTAATCAGCACATTTTACTAGAAGTAAGGAACAGGAGATCACAGCAAGTACCTGCGTGGGGCAACTTCATTGCACCCTCGACCTTGGAGGTAAATTGAGTAAACCAATTAAAGTTTGGTGATGTTTTCGTGAAGTGCCGAGTTTGAATAGGCCTAATAACTACAAAAAACTGATAATTGATCTGTTTTTCTTTAGCCAAAAGCAATGACACGTAGGTTGTAGAGTTTCTACTTGCCAGACACTTCGACGTGATGAAAACACCATCATAATCTAGCACATTGGTCACGAATTCATGCAGTCTAATACCTTTTTTAATTCAAATGGTCTTAAAATTAATATAATGGAAAAAAGTGACGTGTACTTTTGGCAAATGCAAACTCACTTGTTAAGCCTGTCTCTTATGATATCTGTTGTTACATTGCAGGCTGTTCCTGCCGCAAAAGCGATCAATCCCACAACCGCTGCTGGTGGAAAGAACATACATCCTGTCCCGATCGCGTTGAAAGTTGTTCCAACGGTTTTCGAGATATTGCAATTCGTATGGGTTTCTTTGATTTCTGAACGCAAAGCAGAAATCTTGTTTACTGTGTTATCAATTTCATTTATGCCGCTAGTCAGCTCTCTCTTAATCCTCTCCAGACCAAGTTTTATCGACATGTCTGGTTCGCGTTCGTGCGCAGCCGTCGCAAACACCACGTAAAACAGTGAAGGTCAGCGTGTGTTTCTTGCAATTGGCTGGCCTACTGACTGCATTTCGGATTGGTTTATAAGTGCCATTCCATTTGTTTGCACGAATCATAGGGCACCCATTGGTTGTGTTGTGATGATAATTCGTGCACAAATTCGCTACAAACCTGTGCAAGCCACCGTCTCTGTGTGCTACAACCTTACTAGCTAAATCTACCCTGATTCTGTTGTAAATCACATAAGTCAAAATCCTTTGTCCTCTTTTTAATATCTGAAAATTTTTGCACAAAAACGTCTTGGAGTAAATTTTTTAGGATATTAAAGTGGCCGAACACGGTGGTGGAAACTTTATCCAAACTCATTAAAACCAAATCGTCAGTCTTTTCATGTGTTGCAAATTCGGTGTTGCACGAGTTATTCGTTGGTTGAAAATCGCGTTTGATGAATGAGGACAATCAAGCTCGGGGTCAAGTCTTGAAAAGGCTTTAACACCATCTAAACTCAAGGAAAATTCATACATGTGGAAATTTGATCGGAAAAAAGTGACGTTATTACGCGTTCTGAAACTGCTGCAGGATTTGTAGTGTCCGGATTTCTTTAGTGTCATTGAAATCCATTCCATTGTCGGTAGAATGAGGCGAATGAATCCGTTGAACACCACGTGATGTTAAATGCAAAGAAAATCCCACAACTGCTGATCTACGTCTGCTAAGAGCAATATCAGTGATGTGCCTGGAATCCGTAGTGGACGGAAAGCCACCTGGCGTGAGTGCTGAATGTACCATGGCCGAGCGTACCAATGACTCACCCTATTTGCTATTGGCTCCTGTTAGCAGTCGCCTGCTACGCACGCGTGTTCATACGCACTCAAAGCCGCTTGGCTGGTGTGACACCAATATCCGATCGTGTCCTCTGTCGTCCCTTGTTCCACTCTGCTCGCGTTGTAACGGACTGTTCTCCAGAGGATTTTAAAGTATTGCTTAAACCAAGCCACGACAATTCGTTGTCAATCGAATAAGTGAAGATCTCAACCGTTCAAGAATTAATAAAATAGAGAAGAATTTGAAAATGTCCCACCACAAAAATTGATCTTGGGGGGTCCTGAAACAAAGAAAAGAGATGTGAATTATGCTTTGGACGATGGCAATTTCCAACCTATAGACGAGAGTAGTTGGTCAAAAAGGCTGTATTTGTGGATATCCGACAAGCCTTGTGCCATTTCAACTGGTGTTTGTCCACACTGGTGTCGTCGAATTGGAGTGGAAGCCAGACGTTTCCTGGCAGGAGGATTCAATCGTCAAAGCGCCTTAAACAATGTCATCAATTATCAAAAAAGCAGACCTTCTGGTACCAAATAGCACTCATGAATTTGTTGCTGAAGGAGATGGTAAGGGAACCGTCGGTTTAAGTTAATGGACTTCCCAAAGACGGCAGGAGACAGAAGTAACCAGGACCGTAAGTTGAACTCGAAGTCATCCAACGATGGGAGAAATGTCTTCGGTTAAAAAAACAGGGAGGCATAACAGTGTTCGTTAATCCTAAAGACATGAATGAGTAATGTTGCGAAGAACATATCCTATGCTAGGCGATTTGTTAAAGACATTTAACGATTTAACAAATTGTCAGCAATATGCTCAAGCACCACTAAGAAGCGTCAAGGGAAGTGTTAGCAGTAACTGACAATTCCCTCACCCACCTGTCTTTAAACAGGCCAAGGCAATAAATGATTCGCGCCGCCGTGAGATTCAACTGAAGCAACATCAACATGTGAAAGCAAGAAAGAAAACGTTGAACCTTTTTCGCATTGTTCCTTTATTTCCATCCATATTTGCAGGAACCCCAATTTGCGGTAAAGCATAACATTTACAATGCCTCTCTAATTTGACGCGATTTTTGTGCTTGTGATCCCTCATTGGGAGCTATTTTAAAATTGTACGCTTGACAGGCATGATGCTGCACCACTATGATCCACTCCTCACTTATAGTTATAATAATCGATGTGAAGCGGGATGTCAAGGGATGGGTACGAGCGGACACTAGCCCTGCTCGGCAAGCCTCAAACTGATTGGCGTCTGTGTTTCCACCCCATCATTCACTGGCTTATGTTCACTTACGCGAACACAAGGACAGAGTCGTCGCCAAAACTACTGAATTGCAAGAGCCTAAAACGTATCCACTCGTCTTGTCTTGATTGACTGTTCCAATCTAACAAAAACGGTATTGTTAATCAGGCTGCATTTAAAATAGGGCTAAAATTTGATATCGGCAAATTATTTGTGAGAAGAGACTCGGGCGTTCACTGAAAAAAAACACAGATTGATAAGCACTTACGATGTGCTCACACCCTAAGACTGTTTACATTGGAAATGAGCAAAGTACTAAACAATGGAAAGGAACAGTAGTGCGGGTACTAGACACACACACCGCAGTCATTCGCCTAAAAGATGAGCTTTACTGTGGCAAAACACAGTCATTCAGGCAGCCACTAATTTAACTGAAAATGTTAACCCCACGTTTACGAAAAGTTAGGTTGTAATCACCTAAAATGGTTAGTTTAGTTCCCATATTTATAGGATTGTGGAGCGTCAACCTTCGTGGACGTCCGTTAACTCAGACTTCACTGATTTGCAAGGCCCAACTGGTAATTTACTAGACAGCCTGAATGCTGAAGGATTTATGGCACTTTGCAAGAACACGTGAAATTGTTATCGACGTGACTAAATGAGCAAACGTATTTTGCACTCTCGCAGTGATAATGCCCTTAGTGCTTCAGGAATAAATTACCCTGCTTCCTAAAACAGTTTACTAACATTTTGCAGAATAAACAAATTACTGAATTGTCATTTCGCTCACAAATCACATTTTTACCTGCCAAATTGCAACAATAGTAATAATTTCCCTTTCCTATCTACTAAAAATCTAAACGAAACCTTAAGTTCAAGCTTGCCTTTACGATTTACCTAAGTTGGTAACTGACGGTGAATATGATTTAATTGGTCAACAGTCCTGTGGAATTGTTAATTATTAGACTTACTTATTCTTAGCAGTAGACGTGGCATAACGCAGAAGACACGGGCCCTATTGTGATGAGGACTAGTTCAGCATAATAGATTTTATTGACCAATTACAAGCCAGAACCGTTTAGCCAGGCGGCGTTAATCCAAGTCCTTTACGGAGACTGTACCTCTTATTATGCACTAATTCTTATTCCTCAATGTCTAGTATGTTGCAGATCTTCCTCGCAGGCAGATCAAACGCACAATGACGGAGGATTATCTGAGTCTGACGAGACCAAATTTGTCTACTTCCTAGTATCTCGCTACGGCTATTTACTTAAATCGTGCTAAAAATTAAAATAAGAATTTTAATTAATCTGCTATGAACACAAATTTTCAAGAATGTCCAGTTTCAAAACTCATCCCTTTTCTGATTGTTTTCTCATAAGCAGCAACTTGCATTTTGGTAACTCATAAGCTCGATAATGATAGGTGTGAGCCCTTTGGTAATGCACATAAACGTTTATGGGCTAGTTCATGCCAAGAAAACGCTTTTGTTGCATATGACCCTGCCCTTCGTGACAGTCTTCTCGAAACAATTTCTGGAGGTAAACTGCCAATTGCTGGACATTAATTACAATGGTAGAACTGAGTTATGGAAAAGACACATTTGGGGGTTTCTTGTGGCCGTAGATAATATAAACGATCCTACATGCAGGCTTTCTACAGAAGCGCAAGCTAGACAGTCACGTGAACGTGGGTTTTGTGTGGATTTCGCGAATGATTTTGAGGCAACAAGCGGAGTAGGTGAACAGAATTATGGGGTTACTTTGCAAAACGCATACAATAAAACATAAAAGTGACAATGAATATCGACTAAATCTGAAACAAATGCAATTTCAATCACATGAAATGAATTTGAAATGGTTTCACTTATTCCGACTAACAAAGACCAACATTTTCAATACCTGAAAAGGAAGGTAACACATGTAGTCTTCTAAATATATTATTTTCATGTTAAGGATATAAAGAGTCCCATCAATTGCTCAACTGTTCAACCATGAAATAGATTATCATCATGAGTTTCGAACAAGTAGCATAAGTCTGAGGTAAAGTTAAACTTGCCCAAATTTCTAAGTAGCCACACTACTAGGTTGTGTGGTCATGAGTAACTATACAAGAGTTTTGATTTATTCAGAATTTCTGCTCAAATTAAATACAGTAATAATGATATTTTTCGCAATCATCGCTTGGTGAACCCTATTTGCATTCCTCTCCCAAACTCAGTATTAATTCTTTAGACGAGTTGTTGTAAAAATAGGAACGAGAATCACATTAGTGAGTTCAAATCTTGGAATGTGTAAATTTGTTAGAATCCGCTTCATTTTTTTATTCACTTGGAAGGGCATGTAAATAGGGGCGCTTATCTCAAGCTGACGTGCGCAGTTTCGAGGTCTTTTTGACTTGTCGTCGGTTAGCCCGTAAGCTATAATCACCACTTTTTACTGCGAAGTTGTAACTAAATTAGAACGCTTACACTATTTCATCTTATCCATATACATTTAACTGTCTACTTTTTTGTTGGCTGATAAGTCAGTGGATTGTTTAACCTTTCATTTACTGGTAATCTAATTTCACACTTGGAACGCCTCGAAGGCTTTCTTGTCATTGCTATTAAGCGTCACTTAAATGAATTAAAATACCGTATTGTATTGTTTGCTTCATGTTTCTGTCAAGAATCTTGGCTTCCGCACTGGGTGCGTGCTGTATTTTAATTTTACGAATCCTGCAATAAACATAGTTGGTGACCCCATGGTCCACCTTATTTTCTAAAATTTGTTTCGGTGATGTTCTCTTAACCATTGATATTGATCAGTTAAACTCAATGGTAGCAGGACTTCAGGGCCTTTTTTAGAATTATATTCCGTCATATCCGTGCGTAAATCCGAAGGAATTCTGTCGCATTATCTTTTTATTAAAAAACGCGAAGCTTATTAATCAGACCCTCCTAGTTGCGTGATATTGAATTAAAACCTTTGTATCGATTTTAATCCGCTATTTCATACATTTATATCTGTAATGGTTATGGATCTTCTAGTATCCGCGCATCAGTGTGTGTAATGTCGTGTCGGAAACCTTGGAATAAATTTATTCTATATTGGAAATGCTAGTATTAAGCGCGTTCCTGACGCTGCTGGTCTTGCCACGTCGTCACATTTATGAACAATGGGAATAAAATTACTGGCATTTATGAGAAGTAAACGCATGATTAACGATTGCTTAGTTCTTTACTGTGAGTTAGTTAAGACTAATCGGGTTGGATATTTTTTGACAATCTCAGAAAAAACTAGACTCGCTTTTGGTGTACTGGAGGCAGATACTTTTTGCACTATCCCCTTCACTTCACCTTCATTGCAGTTAAATTCCAGATAAGTCGCTGAATTGTAGAGAAAAGAGGAACTAGTCTACACACAGTGTCCACTTTTATCGGGATTTAGCTAACAACACAAGGTATTCTTCAATCCCTATCACTGATGTCCTGAAACTGCTTAGATATTACGTCGATTCTGAATAAAGTTAATCAAGTAGCGTGTCCATGCAGACTAATTACTTTTCTTACCAGACGTATCGTTTTGCTGATCTTCTAGGCAATCATGGAGGACTGTGACAAAGAGCAAAGTGATGACTTATCGTTTAACATGGGTGTGAAGAATCCCTTCGTCCACTCCATAGAAATGTCCCTAGCACGTCGGATCCAAATGTGGCTATTCGTAGTCTTTGTTCTGCCATTTCGTCTGCTTGGCATGGCCATCTTTTTTCCACTCACTCTTCTTGTTGGCGAATTAGCTACTCGCCGAATGGATTTTTCAAACCCCATGTCAGGCTTTCGTAAGCATATTCTTTTACCAATTTTCATATTCTGTGGCCGTATGCTTTTCTTTTGCGGCGGTTTTGTGTGGGTGAGACTCAAAGGAAAACGCGCCAGTTGTGAAGAAGCACCTATCCTCGTGCTTGCCCCACATTCCTCCTTTTATGATGCCCTGGTATTCCTTTCACTTGGCATGCCCTCAGTGGTTGGGAAGACGGAGACGGCACTCTCGCCAATTGGGTCGTTCATTAAGATAACACAACCGATTCTTGTTAATCGGGACGACCCCTCTTCGCGGCAGGACACGCTTGCTGAAATCAGGAACCGGGCACTCTCAGGTGGCAAGTGGCCACAAGTGCTCATCTTCCCTGAGGGAACCTGCACCAATCGGTCGTGCTTGATCAACTATAAGCAAGGTTTGTGTAACTTGTCGGAACTTGTAACTTGCCCATTCCGTATTACTGATGATCGTAAAAAACTAGAGTAACCGATGTTTTGCGGCTTAAGTGCTCAATCCATGTGCTTTTTCCAACTCAAACAATAAAGCATAATGAGAATGTTTCGTAACTTGCACAGGTATTGCAGTTGGTGAAATACCAAGCACATTGGCTTTTTTGCAGATGCTCTCTTCACTCATTTATTTTTAGGCGCTTTCACTGTTGGGTGTCCAGTTCAACCGGCTGTTTTACGGTGGGGTTACGGTGTGGTAAGTTTGCCAATATTTGGTTTTATGCAACTAGGACAGATTTGTGAGCTATTGCCCTTTCTCTTAAAGGTAGCAGTATCTTTTGACCTGATCTAATCGTGTGATAATAGGACGTAACCTTTTAGTCACTGCTCAGGTAGTCGGCACATTCACCACTTACATTCTTCGATTGCCAAAACTAAAGATAGTTAAATGCGTAATAGTGCATGAGTTAATTAATGCGGAATCCGGTTTCAGCGACTTCGCCATGCATCGTGTAGAAAGTAACGTTTTCACGCGGTGTTTTACATGGTGACTGATGCCAAAATTAGACTAACCAAGAAGGCAAATACCTGAACTTGGAATTATGTAATTTCGTTCTTGACAATCGTCGGCTAGTTCCACGCCGACTGATATTCCCAAAATATCAGGATTGTTGTTGTTCTTTTCATCTCTTATTTATGCGAGGTTGTGCGAGAATTAGAAATAGCTAATTTTCGTCGTCCCAGTACGTATTAGTCGGGGAACGTGAGTCCAAATTTGCTTCTGCCTTCCTGGAATGTCTTACTGCCAAACACAGATTTCATCTCCGTTTTATCGCAAGTAGGGGTCCTTTGCTGATGGTTGACTTGCCTTTCTAAGTGGGGACTTATGATCCTTTATTGTTGGGCGTTTGGTGGTTAGTTTCGTTGTAGCTGCGCCGGACCTTTCATTGACTTTTCTCTCATTTTTAGGATAGCATAACGTGGACTTGGGATGGCCCTGGAGTGTAAGCTAAACCCGTAGTGAATTTCCACCTATGTGTTAATAATTCGGACCCGCTTTTTTCACATTTCTCAGGCTTGAGCTACTTTGGACTACTGCGTTGCAGCCATACACAACCCTGGAGATTGAGGTGCGTGTTTTTTTTATATATCGTAATCGCTTTAAGCCATTTTTGAGAGCTAGCAGTCATTACCTGTGCCAGCAATATCGAGTCGTATTGAATTTGCTGTCCAGTTTCAGCTGCGCTTCGCCGACACTGTGAGTTTAGCAAGTTTCAAACTTGCACATTGATACGTAATCGAGGGTAAAATTAGAACTAGGGCATGTGTCACAGTGGTGTTTTCGGTAACCACACTCAACTGCTCGCGACCTTGACTTGGTGCAGTTGTTTTAATTTGAGTTCGTTTTTTTTCCAGTTTTTGCCGGTTTACGTCCCCAGTGAGGCAGAAAAGGAAGATCCCAAGCTTTACGCCACCAACGTTCGTGCTGTGATGGCCAAGTACGTCGTACGGTTAATTGTCGGCTATTTCACAAAGCTTCTAGTTTTGTAACTAAGGTCTTTTTAAGGTTAGATTCAAACAGACACAAGTCTTTACACATTTGCGGTCTCGACTGTTTTCTGGCCAAACGAAATACATTTAGGGAGTGCGTGGATACCCGGTTTTAGAATGAATTATGTTGTGGAATTAGAACCGCTTGTTCGATAAGCGAACATTCAGTGTCGCTTGTGCTACTGTCTTGTCGATCAGCACAATGCTTTCGTCTTGCATTCCGCTATTTACCTTATTTGGGGGTGGTTCATGGCCTGATTCGCCTGGCGGCAGTACTCACTTTAAATTTACGGTTTCTTATTGGCTCACTAATTTGGTGCGCTTGACGGGCTTTGGTGGTAACCAGTAGTGTGTGAGGTTAGTAGACAAGCCTTACACGGTGTTTCCAACAAGGTCCACATATTATTCCCATATTATGGAATGGTTTCGATCCACAAACGTGATTGCTCCCTTGGGCTTAAATGAAGCATACTCTAAGTTGCACCTGATGTTTCGTAACTTGTATCCTGCTGTCTGGACAATCATACTGAGGTCAGATATGCAAAGACAAGTATAGCTCGGACTCCTCCATATGTTATGAAAACCAGAATGCACTTAATGACATCCGTGTAGCACTTAATGAATTCAAAGGCGCGCTTCTCAGGGTGAGATCAACTCAAGCGCACGTCCAGCGAGTTACTGATGAGCAATGACATGGCGAATGCTTGGATGCGTAGCATTCACTGGCACCAATGCACAATGAAATTTGACACCTACGTGAAGATAATATAAAACTGCTGTTTAGTGTGGAGGCAGTTCGGAAAGTAGCTACTGGCTATGTTCCACTGTATGGACTTCGTTAAGTTGCGTTGAAGCGCCTCTAGGGCAGAGTAAATGCTTCTCCATCAAATTGAGGGACGGTTTACGAAACACTGTCGAAGTGGTCACGTTCCCGTTTGTTTTGGTCCTTTAACTCTTTGTGGTTTCGTTTACTTGCACCAACAAAAATTAGCATGCAATTTTGTTTCGTTTCCTGGATTTATCGCCTTCAGCTTAAAATTTACTGTGACCAGAGTAAATAATCGAGTGAAATCAGTGCTACTATGTGAGGCGAAGTCGAAACGCCAATTTAAAGGCCTGCTCGTTCGTTTACCACAATTGTGTTCTGCCTTTCCTTAAAGGGCCGCCAACCTCCCAACCACCGACCTTAGTTTCGACGACTGCAGACGGATTCGCACGGCAGTTCAGTTCGGTCTGCCCATTGCTTCTCACATTAACGAATACGGCAAGCTCTCACGTTACTTGCTGTAAGGTTTTTGTGTGAATAAGTCGCATACTTCAAGGTCATCATCTAGTCAAGTGATGTCCCTGTGGTCAGTTTTAACATTGCTTATCTACTGTCGCTTGGAGCAGTCGTGTCACACGGTCACAACTGACCTTAGTGTCACGAGTATTTGTCTGAGATTATCTGTCGATGCGGCCAAAGTATGGACACTAACCGTTGAATCATTTAATATGCATAAATACAACTTGAATTTGTTGGTGATGATAACCGTACCCCATCGCCGCGATTGTTGAAGCGTCAAACACGTTTGTTTTAATCGTTTTGTAACTGGGTGCATCGACACTTGTTGTCCATGCAAAATGGGACGTTCAGTAAATTGTAACGAGACATGTTGATAAAACATGTTCTTATTGGCTTCGATTTTGATTGGGTTTCAAATGCAATTGAAGCCACGAAGCGCGTCCTGTTTCGCATTCCACCACCAGCACTCCGATGTCGAATAACGAAACCGGACTCCATTTTCTTGAAATTTTGAGAATTTAACAATTACGATCACCAGAGCCGAGCATGTCGTTCTCTGTTCAAGCCAAGGCTATAAGTTTGCTCAGTTATTAACTAAACTGAAATCCTCTTAACCATGTACGGTACTGGGTGGAATCTATCGAAGTATATTGGTGTCGATAATCCTTGGCCCTTTCTTTTTCAGGACACGAGAACGCATATCAGATGACCAAATTCTGCCGAGCCAAGTGGCCTATGTAACTGATCGCTTGCTCTCGATGGCCAGTGCAACTAGGGACTGGCACAAAGGCGGCTGTGAGGCCCTAAGTGTGCAGAGTCTGACTGAAATGTTCTTCGACGACGCAGCGAGACAAATTCCACCCAAAGCGGCTGCTCTACTTCAACGGGTTCTAAAGGCACTTCCAAAAGTGAGTAAACTCAGCCGTGCGTTGACGTTTTGATGAATACTTTTATAAGACGCTTTCCCTATGTTGGGACAATTTAACCACTGTGCTGGTTTTTTATTGAGCTACCGTTTCTTTAGGCTGTTTTTATCCACAAAATAGAATGAATGTACGCCCATAGTGAATTCGGTCTTAGTATTTGTAAGTCCTATCATCTATAATTGGACGGTTTGATTGAATAGTGAGTTTCTCCTGGCGAAAAGTACAAATTTTAGGCAGACAGGTTTGGACATATTTGCCGGTCGGTAGCAGTGATGCAGAGATTTATAAGACAAATGCGAATACTAATTCGTTGTCTTCTTAGACGCAGAACGGTCAGTCGGACGTCCGTGCTGTGGTTGTTCACCTGTGTTTCCTCATGTTCTCCGCTTCCCCTTCTATCGCCGTGCGGCTTGCTTTTCAGGTAGATTGCTGTTTTACGTAAATCCGTGTCTCTCTCCTGTCTTACTTAGAATGTAGATTCGCTGATTTAAATGAAGTCGTACGTAGTTATTGCTGCACAAACAGGCTATGTGATTAATTGCCGTGTGAAAATAATTGTTGGTAAATTTGGTGTCACGACAGGCATGGAATCTTTGATTAAAGTTTAAATTTTTTGTCACGCATAATCTGGAATATTTCTGCTGCCGCATTACTCATCCCACGAAATCGCTAATATGCATAGTCGACTCTAGTTCCCATTAATGGGCTCCTACCTGTCCAGTGATTTTCGCAAATGCGATGAGGCATAGGCTGGAGCGTTGCCTGACAACCGACCTCTTCAACTAATTGAATGGATCTTTGAGTTTAATAAGGGAATTTCGCATGCGGCCTTTCACAAAGAAAGTGCCTGGCGGTTTTGTGCACCAAGACAGCTTTGTTACCAGGTTATGCTGACATTAATACCATGACAAACCCATCTATCTACTTAAGACAGCATTTTTTTGTGTAATTTTGGTTACAAAATAGTTATTTTGGTGAAAATTCCACTTAGTTGGCGGTGCCTGGTTGTCACTCAAAAGAAGTAGTTCATCTAACATGAAATGGTCCAATAAAATCTATCCAAAGCGCCCACATGCGTTAGCTTTTGGCACCGTGTTGCCGCCACTGTGTACTAATGAAGGGTTAGCAATTAAGATTCCTAAGGACCCATGACATAGGCTAGTAAACGACATTCATCACTAGGGCGTCCCTCGGGTTTAAAGCTGCTTGCTTTGGGCCACTAGGGCTTGGACGCGAGTTCGTTTGTTTGCCCTTCGGCAATCCCATGCACAAGTTTATGTTTGTAGTTCCTAGTGGAGGTCTTGGTAGCGCCATGGGTACAATTGATGTCCGCTTTGTAGGCTTTTGAAGCCGTCTCCACCGGTGTCACCGAAGACATACCAATGGGAGATGATGAGGATGGGGTTGCTGACGACAAGTACGCAACCCGGTCAATCGCGACCAGTGATGCGGCTCTTCTTCTGACTTTCGTTTACCATCTCTCCCTGGAGGAGGCCAAGTCGCTGATGCCTCATAACAGCGCCAAAAATACCGGTGCCTCAGTCGCAGTTGGGCCAGGTTGGCTTCGAGCATTCGCGTTTATTTGGATGTTTTTGCCTGCCTTTCCAAAGTGGTCATTTGGTGCCTCGCAGTGGATGAGTAGATATGGCATTTGTCGTCTTGAAGTGTTTGTTTTGATTCCGGGTTGGAGGAATTAATAGTGAGCGGCTGAACTGAGTGGCATCTTCCATGTTTGCGCATCCGCGTCGCATCTGGTAGAGTTTTGGGCCGGCGTATTTGAAATGTGGCATAAAACGCGCTCTGAGGAGACGCCAAACACCTCACTGAGTTCTTTGATGTGAGACCTTTTTTAATTCTCCCCTTTATGTTAATGATTATTCTATGAGAGGTCGTGTGTCGCAAGTGTCCGACTTGACATGATTTGGCAAGCACAAACACGACCTATTCGTTTCAGATTCTCCCCTAAAGTATTCTTATGGTGCTCACTCGAATGTTTGGTCTCCTGTTTTGTATTAATTTGTGAAAAAAAACAGAATTGAACGTTCCTTAATTTTTTCACTTAAATGTACTGCATTTATAGGCATATCAGTCGTTCCGTGGTGGACACTTGGGGTGCGGTGATCGATCCCACTTTTTTACTACCTTCACCACAACGCAGTCAATTATGGAAATTTAAATAGTACACGAAAATAAGTTGTCACACAGTAACACATTGGAAGTGGAGTTAGTTCGTAAATTTGTTATTCATCTTGTCGCTTCTGACCCCTCTCTAAACTATGCTCTCACTTGTAGGTTTTGTGTATCATGCGGTGAACAAGCACTATCCTAAACTCGTTTCCAGTTACGCGGACTATAAAAGCGAGATGAATCGTATGCGGCGTCTGTCTGAACGGCCTTTTTCTGAAACCTCATCCGAGTCCAACTCAGTCTCCAGTCTATGCAGCCTAAGCGCCGACGATGCCACATTTAAGCCGGGCCATCGCAGAAATGCTTCTAACGTCTCTGTCGGTTCTACGGGCTCGCTAGATCAGTCTGAGACGGAGCTTCGGATGCGCGTCGCCCAACAGCCTTCCGCCAAAGATAGCTGATTTCGAGACACCGTTTCATCCACCCCACTTTTGCACTCGTTTTAACGCCCTAACGCCCTCCCTACCTCTCGTGCCCCTCCGTCATCTGCTGTCTCGTTTCCATCATTTTTTTCCAGCGCCTGCTTGTTACGTATTTCCAAGTTGTTTTTACACCTTTGTGAGTCCCAAATTTTGATCCCAACTGGTCAATTAGTTTTCTTACTGCATTTTCATTGTGCTAGATTTCGGCCTGTGGACGTATGAGTGCATTTACGTAGCCTTCGGATTGAGTCCTCGACTTGTTAACTGGAGCGGCGGTCTATTTGTCCATCTCGTGACACATGCCATGTCATTGGCACACTCACTTGTTTCTGTCCGTTTCCTTGACCAATAAATTGCCGATCTCATCCGTCTAATGTAGTTTTTTTTATGTTTGCCAGCTCTACTAAACCTCGCCATTCTGTTATTTGTCTAACATCGACCAGGTAGGAGAGTGTGTTGGTTTATTTCCCCAAATGAGGAAATATCCCACCATGGCACTAGGTGGGTTATTGGAGCGTTTGATTTGTTTTGCAAGCCCCCTTAATTGGCCTCGTTACTAACACAATGACTAGCGGTCACCGAGTTCAAGACGGTGTTTCGACATTGGCGGGATGGCGTTCTCTGTAGGCAGGGGCTTTATTGCGCAGTAATGATCGGTAGGCGGCGTGCCACGTGAATCTAAAACACTGCGTAAAATCAATTGGTAGCTATTGGTACGCGCGAATTTTCATGGTACTAATTGGAGGAATCAACTGTGAAGTGGTGTTTTGGCATGAAACATTTGAACTGGAGGTCTTGGCCAACGTTGATTCTCGCCCTAGTCTGTAATTTTTTTCTGCTCTAAATCACATCTTGCCAGAGAGGGAGGTGTGGAGTTCTTTACGTAGAACGTCAGTGTGAGGTTCGGAATAGAAATCTGGATCTCGACTTGTCTGTGTCCCTTCCCAGAGCGATATGCAGTGGTGCTTAGTGCACGCGCACGACTGGCTGGAGTGAATGAGTGCCGTCACGAAAGTAGACCGATGCGGTGATTTTGTGTGCTGCGTGGCATAGCTCCGTCGAAACAACCTGCATATATTGCTTTCTTTAAGTCAAAGTATAACCTTTAACCCTTTGTAACATGACTCATAGGAAAGCTTCGCTTTAAGCTGGTTTTTTTGATAACATGAAAAGTGAGCACTCCATTCCCCAATTTAATAAAAATCGGTTGGGGCTTCTGCATCCCTAAGACTACACTTTTCAAGATTTTAACAATTTTCCGCTATCAATCTGTGTTTATGCACGCCGCTTTGAGTTCATTTTGGCCGCCACCTTCCTATTGGCCCGTTCATCTTTAAGTACACTATTCTTCATGATTCTCAAGGCTGCCCGTGCTTTAAATTGGCGCATTTGGACGGGCCTTCGTCTGATGAAGTGAAAGGCTCTTTACACGATGTCCTGTCTTGTACTGCTTTGGGAGGTGGTGACTCATCCGTATCGTGATTTTGTGTTAGTGCGTGTGACGACGTTGACGTGCTGGGCTGGCCGTTCGATTTTTTGTGCTCAGGGCTTCAAATCCGTGTGGCGGTAACCGCAGTGTGTAAGCATGGTTCCCCAATTTGCCTTTGCAAGAAGCCAAGGTGTAGTGGGCAGCTAGATTGGTAGTGAGCTTTGTATGTTGTGGTTTTAAAGTGAAGCAGGACGCAAAGTAATAACCAGGGGTTTAAGACCGGGACAGAATTTCACTTTGGCGTTTAACTTACGTTTAAACATTTGCAGGTCAGTGTTTCAACTGTCCGCACCCGTGTTGAAACCAGAAATGAACACCGACAGTCAAGAGGGTGTGCATGATCTTCCCTCTGCGGACGAATGCATGCGGTTGTGTGCTACGTTTATCGAGTTTACGGAGACTGACAAGGCTCTGGCAATGCTATTTCTTCAAAATAATTCATGGGACCTTGAAGTAATTTTGAGAAGATTCTGCCTAAAACCTCATGTTGAGCGGTTATTTTACTCTCTTCTCATTCCAGAAGGCACTGGCGTGTTTTTATGAAAACGGGATCGCTGACGCAGGTGACGGTGCAACAGCAAGAAAAAGAATGCGGTATTTTTTCCCCACTTTTTATCGATAATCGATATGTATTGTGAGCCTTGTTTATTCATGTTTGTCGCTCCCTTCTCCGACACGATGCCCCCTTTTCACACCTCAACTCACATCAACTGGATTGTCCTCGCTTTTAATAACAGACCCCTATAAGTCTAGATGTAAGCACACCCATGACTCACACTGTCCCACACACCTGAGGTATAAATACACATGCGCAAACGCCACACACGACACCGTCAACAATCCGGTTGAGCTCTGTAGTAGACGATTGTGTCGCCTCCCCTCCGGTCTCCTGCATCGTCGCAGGTGTCGGGGCAGCGTGATCGGGCTACACTGAACTCAGCAGCCCCCGTGTGGTTTGAGACCACATGCCGTGCCCGAAAACGTGTGTGTGGGATGGGCCACTGACAGCGCCTAGTCTGATAAGCGGTAGACTCACCGATGGACCTTGTCGGAGTGTTTAGGGCTGCCGATTCCGTGTCAAATTGTCTGCATTCCTGTTTCATGCGTCCCAAAAACTTTCCAAACCCGAAGTTATGCGGCAAGTTTAAAAATTGCCCTCTTTCAGGGATTATTTCATAACTTGATTCATGTTTTTTTTTATATGGTGGTTTTGGTCATCGACTGTCGCATTACACCCACGGTCCGTCTAACACACTATCATGATTTGAAAGGTTCGAACTATTTTCCAACCATCGGTTCAATGTAATTGTCTTTCAGTCGAGACCCCGAGCAAATGTCGTCGGAACCCGTTATCGATCTAACGTCGGACAACGAGGATGTCGCAGAGGATGAAATGTCGGTTGACCAGCAACACGCACACCTGTTCCGTCTGCTTTCTTGGAACATCGACGGTTTGAGCACTAAGTCCAGAGAATTCAGGACACCATCTGTTGTCTCACTGATCAAAAGGTGAGGAAGTGTAGGGCGACATCCCGCTGGTTATGCTGTTCTTCTCCCTGTGACTCATAGCCCAGTGGTTGTCTTAAATGCATCATCTGTTTCGAGTTTGCATATGTGAAACAATTTCAACGACAGCATCAATGCCGAGAACACATTTCTAAGAAAAATTCGCCAAAATTGTGAAATCGTCCCTAGTAATAATCAGTTGATGGGCCTGCTGCGTGCAGTGAAATAAAGCTCCTTGATTGTAGTGCCCAAAAATGAATTAGCAAGTACTGATTTTAAATGCTCGTTAAAGTAGGCTTGTCTCGCCTATGGGAAAGTTTCGGCATTCCACACTCAACACTCTTCAGTTTCCCACACCGTTACCGTTGCTACTTTGTCAATGATTTGTCTGCCCATAATCTTCTCGCTAGGGCAAATTCAGATTTTACTGTCTGCTATGCAAACGCTAAGACATTGCTGAGTATTGATGTTGTAAAGCTATTTCTCTAAGAATTCACCTGTAAAGTTTGTTGTTTGACGGCTTCATCAAGAGTGTGAGTAATACTAATGTCTACCTACAAATATAAGTAGAGATTTTTTGTGGTTCCAATGACCAACTAACTTGTCTTCCCATTTATTTGTTAAGGGAAAAATTTCACGTTGTTGGTCTGCAAGAAGTTGTGCGGGAGAGTTTAGCTAACCTGAAGAAGCAACTGGACGGTCTGTATGACATCTTCCACCCCGAGGACATCGAGTTGAGGGACTACTTCCCGGTCATCTGCGTCCTCAAGCACCCTGGACTGACTGTTGTCGTCAATTCTTTCAGGGTTTGGTCTTTTTTCTACTCTAACAATGCCGGGATCTCTTTTACGTAGGACCTTGGTCATTTCTCACATAGCTTTCGATGTGTGTTGGCTAACAGCACTTAAAGCGAGCACTCCCGCGTCTTACGTCAACGAACCATGAGACACAGGGCTGTTACTGAACGCCTACTAGTGCTCTGTAATAACTGACACCAAATTCACAGCGCTTTCGGCGTTGGTTCTGGGTGTGTTCTTGCACAAAAGACCTTCGAGGATCCCTTAGGCACAAGGATGAGTGTAACGGCGGCGTTTTAGTTGGGCGTTCTCTCTCAGCCACTGTTGACGCCAAATCAGCAATGTTGGCAAAAGCCCTGGGTGGGACTCCATGTCAGATAGGCCAAAGGCAACGTAGTGGTGAAACCTTGCCAGTAATGGGGGCGCTTCACAATTAACCTCACGGTAGTATTAGCCGGCCGAGTTGCTGCCTGTCAGTAAATCATCTTCACCCTTTTAAATCTGCCTTTTTTGCTAAAGAAAGGTAAATTAGTGCTGTGTCCGGATAAGTGTGGTCCTCGACCCACACCGGGGCCATGACACCTACACTGACATGACTCAAACAAGGGAGAAGGCAGACCGTGGATAGCGTGAAGTCCACTCGATTTATTGCTACAGTAGCAGCGCGGTTGTACAGGGTGTGCCCATGTGCTCATAACGTGCCAAGGCGCCAACTTGTGTGGAAAAGTTCGACATCGACCCCCGAACGGACATCGCGATGTGAGGTCGCCTCAAGTTGACCGTTTGAGTCTGTGCTCGCTCGCCGATCGCCACAGCACTTTTTCGTTGGGTTAGCACGACAACTACGCGCGTCTCATTTCATGATGACTTTCTTCCAATAGGTTGCATTGGGTTTAGCACACGGATGTTTCGCATTTGATTATATTTTCCCACTAGAGTCTTCTGTCAGTCCTCTTTCTTTCATCCACTTGGGCCTCCCATGTCTGAGCCTTTGCTATGATCTCTACATTATTAAGCATTGTTCTTCTCTTTTCCCTTTGAAGCCGAGTTAACCTAACCATTTAAAACTATTTTATTTTAAGATTTCGTGTTCTGTTACCTTGTGCCTCTTTCAACCGTATGTTCATGAACTCATTTAGGTGACACCATTCCCAGGATCGGTCATGCAACGGATTTTGTTGACTCTCGACGTCGTCATCCACCCTCACGTCCTTCTCTCGACCAATAAGAATGCAGTGTTATGTCCACCGATTCGCGTGAGGGTGTGGACCTCTCATTTGGAGAGCTGTGCAAACTTTGCCAAAGAACGTAAAAACCAGCTCAAGCAAGCTTGGAATGCAATGCAGGCTGAGATTTCCCCAAACGCAGGAAATGCAGCAGCGCCCACTTGTGGCATTTTTTGTGGTGATTTGAACCTTCGTGATAAGGAGGTAGCAAGTTGATTTAGTTTTAAATAGGAATAACGTTATCTACGCATAATTTGACACGTGCCTTGAGAAGTCTAAGAAATATCATTTTTTCGTCACAGATTGATTAATCACTTACAAAAGGTGCAGTATCTGTTACCGTATTCGTTGGCAAAGGCATTGCGAAATTCTGGCAATTATTTTGCATCGAAAGTAAGAAAATGGGTACCCTTAGTGCAAATCATTCCTTTTGGTAGTTTTAAATTAACCGAAGCACCAACGTCCTTGCCTGCAAACCGGTCAAGTTCGACAGTTTTACCACATGCTCCTCATTGCTTGAGAGGCTATTCATGCCGTTGAGCGCTGTTGCCGCTGTTCGCGACGGTTCGGGATGTCCAATGTTAGGCTTCTGGGTGCCCTATCTGCAGTGGAATCCAACCTGTCCTGTTCTGTATTAAGCAGAGGTCATGTAAATGCAAGCTCAGATAAGTGCCAAAGACCAGTGCGTAAATGCCAATTCCTTTCAAATCCTCGATTCACTTATGCACTGTTTCCGTCTTGGTGTGGTTATTTTGCAAGCGGACACACTTGTCTTCTTTTTAAAACGCTTAGATTCACCAATTGGGAGGTTTGCCGCCCGGAATGGTTGACGTTTGGGAGACCTGCGGTGCTCGTCCTGAAGCCAAGGCAACTTGGGATCCACGGAGGAATCCCAATTTGAGTCTGGACAACCCAGAGTCGTCGTTTTCGGCAACCCCCAAGCGGGCTGCCTACGGGATGCGATTCGACCGAATGTACTTACTTGGTGGGGGCCCTGGGCGCCTGAAGCCAGTCGACTTTGAGCTTCGTGGTCTTGAGCGTGTTCCCGGTCGCTCACACTTCCCCTCCGACCATTGGGCCATCCTCGGGCACTTTGATATTGTTCCTCCATAGTATACTGCCACTGTATCCTAAGACACCTCACCTTTTCCCATTTTTGTTACATGCAAAGACATGGCTAAACTTTTCTGAGAGCTATGCCACGAAACTATGGTTTATGACGACAACGTATCTAAAGTACGAGGCTGGTCCGTTCGCTCACTACTACCATATGTCCCCCGAAATATATGGGACAATAAAATTTAATGTCGCCAATTATTAATTACTCAAGTTGCGTTTGTTACTCCGTTGATTAGAGGCCTGTGTTGATATTTATGCCTTTTGGTTAGACACCTCAGTATAGAACGGAACAGGAGCCTGCTTGCGCAATCTCAACAAGCAATTATGCGCGTTTCACTGGAAAGTGCTTTGCAAAACTTCAAAGTTTGCAGTAGTGGGCTCAAAGACTGAAGAATCGCGTATTCAGTGATTCGTAATTCGGGTGCAGGGTTCGCTAAAGTACTGAGTCGTATGTTTGGCTTCCCGGACGTTCATTTACTCGTTGAATTTTGAATGGTGAAAAAAAGGGTTTTGTCAAGCAAATAATTCACAAAGTAGAGGTAGCTAGTTTATTCTTGCTTTTCGGATGTTTTACTTACTGAAAAAACACTGGAAGTTGCAAATCCTCGTCACCGGTTAGGTGATGCCGATCGCCAATCTCTCGAGTAATACAACTCAGGCAATTTTCGCGCGAACCTCGTGCAGGGTTGGCTCGTGACGTCATCACACAAACACTAGTAAAATTCGCAAGAAATCTTGATTTACGGATGATTGGTTAAAAAGCGCCGAGTCGCCTAAGTTGAATTTCCCCAAGTCAGAGTTAAGCATCATCCGTCATCTGTGGACATTTGGCTTGGTCTTAGGTCCGGTATTGAAGTGCCAGCTGCATGAAATGTCTTAACTTGGCCGCATAATAGAGGCAAGGAATTCTTGTCGACGAGCCTTCGCTTGCTTTAAGCAACGCACGCAGACAGCCTTTACAGGCGCCTGCGAGAAAGGAATCGGACTTAGATTGAATTGCTTGGGAAATCATTGAACTCGTCTGCTTCAAACAGTATTCCGATCTCCCTATTAGTAGTATTGTTATTCAAGTTAGAAGCAACCCTTGTATGTTGTCGCACACTTTAGTGAGAGGAGAGTTTACATGAAAAGGGGTGAAATGTGAATTTACACTCAATGTGTGTGTTTGACACTCAGAACATCAACACATAGTCACTGACACTCACCTATGGTGATACATGTTTGAGTATATTCTGCTTCATCTAAGTAAAAACTCCAATCAAAATAAATGTACCATCCAAATGTCTTGGGTCAATGATTCAGCAGACATATATAACCTCAATGATTCCGCCACAATTGTTAAGTTATAGCGCAGTCCCGCTAATTACGACGCTTTGAAGACGTGTAATAAAACCGCCCTGATGGAGCGGGATGTCTAGTATTCCACGTAGAGAGTAAAACTGTCGACTAAATATTAGACATGATTGGGGGGGGGGAAATAGGACTATTTCACACATTTTTTTCTAAAATAGCATTATTTATAGAATCGAGCAAGCTGGCTCAGATGTTTTGTCATTCATTGTGGGACACGCCCTCAATTTAAAATCTAGCTTAAAATAGAATGAGACTCGAATGCGTGCATTAAGGAAATCACAACTAGAGTTTGAAAAAAGGATGCATAAATGACTGTGGTCATTGCAGAAGTTGCCGTTTACTGCTAGAGGAGTCGGTGTGAATGGGAAAATGTGCTACTGTTAGTGTTGCATTTGACTAACGAGAACAAGCTGGTTTAATGCAACAAAGCAAACACAGATGCTTCAGATGCCAAACCTTGGGCTATGTTATGCGTTTTTCTTTCTTAACTGTGCATGTAGAGCGGGTTACGAAACAGTTCGTAGGTATTAGAACATTGCTGACGCCTCAACAGCTCACTTGTTAGCAAAGCCACACTGAGAAAAACTGATCAAATTCACTTGAGCGCCCTCTTCATGAAAGAAACTAAAACTGCATTCTGCGAGCAGAATTGTCCATTTCTGCTGTAACTCTAGAGGTATTTATTGGATACTATTTAATATGCGAAAGGCGTAATTTGTATACTGGTTTGTTTGAATTAAGCAGCTTCGATCCAGCCACTTTAAAATAGTAGACTAAAACACGATAGGTAATAAAAAATTACGCTTTGATTTGGCAGTGAAATCTTACTCTTGTGAAGTTAACAATCAACGTATAAATCGGTTGTAGCAATTACTCTGGACTGTTGTTACCCATTGGGGTTTGGAAGTTCAACCGCATGACCGTTTTTTGTTTCACTGACTCAATTAACCTTTCTTCATGTCCATTCCCCACGTTCTTATGCCAACCTAGAGTTTGCTAGGTTAGATAGTTTTATTTTCAAGGGCTCAATTCGATGCGAAGGCTGCTATTAGCTTTCCACAAATTACTACTGAATCAGCAATTAGACCAAGTTTTTGTTAGCCTAAGATGATGAATGTCAATGTCATGGTAGAAGGGTTTAACACCTTGGGGGTGTAGATTTAGGCATGCCTTAATGCATTTTACCAAATGTTCATTAGTAAGAAACTTTTTGGATTAACTGCCTGTGCTGCCACAACATAGCCTGAATTCAATGAATAGAATGAAAAATCCAGATACCTATATCCCGACCGTGAATATCACAAAATGTGCAGACGGCAAACTAAAAGGTTGTTTACCATGTTCAACGAAAAGAGGACTGAACAAAGTGTTGTTTTATAGGATCGAAAAACAAAACTCCGCTTGATTTTCATAAAGTTTTATAGTTTAATTTCTGAGTTGATATAACTACATAAATTTGAGCAACACCAGTGAATTCAAATCCTTCTAATAGCTGGCAAGAAAGTTGGCTGAAGTAAGTACAAGCAAACAACTCTAAAGGGCAGTTGAATTCGCCGACATATTATACCCCTTCCGCCCAATCCATTCACGTCAAGATGTTTATGAAACCTAAAGAAATTCATGTTCCATGTTAATGAAGATCGACGGCATAGTTTCTAAGGCCCTTAGGCACAATGTACAGACAGTAGTGAGTTATGGTCTAAGCACTAACTTACAACCCTCTAGTTAACAACCCGAAACATCCCGCGTAGAGTGGAAAAGAGGCGACAAAGGACACGACCGTTTATTAGCGTCACGCCAGCCAAGTGTCTGTCTTAGTGTGTGGATGAGTGAACGGATGACAGGCATCGGATACAGTAACCAATGAAAAGGGGATGAGTCATTGTTACCGTCAGGTCGGTAACCAGGGTTCACTCGGGCACGATCGCCGTTAATCCGCTACAAGACCTTCCTTAAGCTAACTGATTTTCTTGAACTCGTGAAGTTTCTTTGCACAGCCATGACCGTAGACCACTGCAAACCTTCAGATCGCACAATCCTACCCGAATGTGCTGCATATTCGCCAACTGCTGCGGTCTGATTAGTAAGTCAACCCTTAAAACTGCCGCTGCAACCGCCATTTAGTCTTTTCATCTAGCTACCGACCATAGTCAGAACCAAGTTGCAGCCTAATGTTTGTTCATACGAAAGCCAAGCATGTCACAGTTTTTCTCTGCCAGCTTGCGAAAACATTCTCAGCTAAGTTTCTCAATCCTCACAAATGTCACGCACTGTGTTGCCACGCTTCGTAAAACTGAAAATTCGCTCCCTCTGAGCGCTTGTACCGGTACTAATTGTCATCATTATAAATAGAAGTAGTTAATAGGAGAGATTTTAGCGATCCACACATTTTATTTGCCATAGAAAGCCTCATTTATGTTGGTGGCAAATAATAGGTTTCGAAGGCAGGATTAATGCCTGGGCTGACTAGTAAAATCCCCATGTAAGGTATCATGGAAAGCGCAAATCCTCATCTGTTGGGCAGGCCTGTTTTAGCTTAAAGAGATTATCAGCCACTGTCAAATACCCTGTAAGCTCCTTGTTTGTAAAAATGAATATATTAAGTTACCAAAACAACTAACTCTCTAGTACATTAATAGGTTGCTATTTGTATCTGTTGAGAACCCTCATCTATCAACGCACTCGATTATAAATGAAAAATCAAATTAAATTATTAGTCTTTTTTCAAGTCTCTTTGGGGGTTTAACACTGAACTCAAGAAGCACTAAAACAGTATTAACAATGGCAAGGAAATAGTAGTTGAAGCACATGTCAGATCAGAATCAACGTCTGCATAGGACTTTATGCGTATCCCATGACTATCTCACTTTGCCCTGATTTGGTGTCTGCAACAGCCATATGATGAATGGTCAACCAAACAAATTTAGACCTTTGCATCAACGAACAGAATAAGAGGAGCAGTTGCAGGTTAGTTAGCAACTAACAATCGCTTCATAAATAATGAAGCATATCATCAGTCAAACCATGTGTTAAGATGATTAATGCAGTTTGTTCAAAAAGTGTTCTTTCTATGTTTTTTTTAAAAGCTAAAATGCAAAGTGTCGAATACCTGCAAGCGTAGTCCATTCAAAACACATCTAAAATCGCTTTTTTATTCAAACTTGTCATGGATAGCTTACTTTCTGATTTATTGGATTCACGCAATCTTCTTTTCCATCAAATTTTCTGCAGTATTGTGACTGAAAAATGCCTACATTAATACAGACACGCACTCAATTTGCAATCGGGGCACTTGAAACAAGGTTTTGAGACTCAAATGCCACAAGAATCGGTCATTTGTGGTAAAATCGTTTCCCAAAAGAACTAAGCGCTTTGAAGTCCTTCCACTCGAAAAGCGATAAAAGCTTGGCGACAGTGGCGGCAAACAAATGGTAAAAACTATGCGCAAGACTGCATCCATGACCGTTAGTTTGCTAGGCCGAAATCTGAAAAACTAAATAATGTAGTCTTTTTATAATTGTAGAGTTGTCTCAAGTAGTAACTCCCTGCAAAACGCTTTATGAACACATGTAAATGCGACTCTCTTTAATTGGCTTAAAACGTTGTCAATGCAAACATGTTAATGGCCTTAAGAAAGTGCA